ATATACAGACACAGACACACATATAGACACACAGACACAGAAACACACACAGACACACACAAGCAGATACACATATACAGACACAAACACACAGACACAAATACACACAGAGATACACAGAGACACAGATACACACACACATATACTGACACAGATACACACACAGACACACACAGGCAGACACACAGACATACAGGCAGATGGATACATATACAGACACACACAGACACACATAACAGACACAGATACACACAGACACACAAGCACACACACAGAGATGCAAACACACACACACACACACACACACACACACACACACACACACGCTCAGCTAGTGAAACGCAAACCTGTGAGATCAGCCCACAGAACTATTCTTCCTTTAGTTCAACTTCACTGTCTTGGTCAGTATCTGGTCTCTGTCTGCTTACGATGAAAAAATACCCTACCCTGTAAAAGGCCCTTCAGCAACACATCAACTCAGGTGTTCGTTACCAAGGTAAAAATTAATCAAAAACCTATTAGCTTCGTTTGCCCTTCAGCAACCTTAAAAATCCTTCTCATTCCAAGCCAGGTGTGGCCGAGCACTCCTGTTACCCCTGACTCAGGGTGTGGAGAGAGAGGGCTAAAGTTCAAGGCCAGCCTTAGCTACACAGCAAGTTTGAGGCCAGCTTAGGTTACGTGAGTCCCTGTCTCAAACCTTATAAAAAACATGGCAAGTCACACAGCCGGGAAGCACATCGCTAACTCTCCACCGTGCCGACGGCTTACGGCGACCGTCATCCACCCGAATCACGTTTTCCTGACAGCAGAGACTTCAGTTTGTTTTTCAGAGATCTGATGGTGACATCGCTACCTCTACGTCATGTCTTTCCCTTCCCAGCCTAAATGTGTGTGGACGTGTGGATCACTGGAGGATTGTTCAAGGCTGTGTGACACACGACTGCAGGTCTAGCGTGTGTCTTCTACCCCGCCCTGGTGTGTAATCCTTCAGCTGTCTCTCACCTGTCATCAGGCCCAGACGATCCACAGGGCCAGGATGTTTGTAAGGACAACGGCCTCAGCAACAAGAGGGACGCAACAGTTTCTCCGACTGACCCGTGCCTCACACGAGAAGGAAAACATCTTTTGCCACTGTGCCTTGGCCAGCAGTCAATTATAAGAGCCCCTCCCCCGATTAATAAAAGACTGCCCCACTCTTTATTCAGAGTAACACTCCAGTCCCAGCTGACCTGTATGTTCATAGCTTTTGGCTGGATGTCATTGCAGGTTTCTCTTGTTCAACTCATTCATGGCTAGACCTGCTCCCATGTCCCTCCGCCCCTCCGCCCCTCTGCTGGGACTGCTTGCTTTATCGGTTGGTGCCCACAAACTGTTGAAGTAAAAAGAACATAAATTGAAGTCTGAGGAACTGGGTGAGGCAGCTGTGAGTTGGGGTTCCTGGGGAGGCAGGAAAGGTGTGAGCTCATGGGCTGTTGACAGGGGCTACCGCCCCCCTCCCCGGGACAAAAGTCTCCCCTTGCAAACGGTGGGAGCTGGCACCGTGGTAAGGCTGACCTCACAATATCTCGCTTCAGTTTCGAAACGAACACCTGGCCCTTTCTTGTGCCTCACCTCACATCTGCTTTTGACTGGATGACTCAGAGGCTGGGTGTTTCCGCTCCGAGGATTTTTGTTTTGTTGTTTTTTTAAGGTCACACTTTATTTATTGTTTAGGCGGGCCTTGAATTCTCTGTGTAACAAATGACACTGAACTCCTGGGCTTCCTGTCTGTTCCTTCCAGATGCCGAGATTACAAACATGAGATTACATGCACCGCCATGACTAGTTCATGTGGGTAGAATCCGGACCCTCATCTGTATGGCTGCTGGACAAACACTCTCCAGAATGGACTACATCCCCAGTCCTTTACTCTGGATTTTTGAAATTTTGTTTTTCATTTTTATCTGTAAAATGGATGAGCAGAATGAAAAGGTCCATCCATGGTCGTCTTCTTTTTTGAGAGGGAGAGGGCACATGTGCACACAGGCTAAACAGGATCTCTCACTAAGCCTAGAGCTAGGCTGCCAGCAAGCCCTAAGGATCCTCTTATCTGCATGCCCCCCATGCCAACTTTACAGGCCAGTGTGGCCACGCCTGGCTTGTGTGTGTGTGTGTTGTGAGGTGTGTAGGCACATGTGTGTCACCGTGGCACTCGTGTGAAGATCAGAGGTCAACCTTTGTGGGCTGGTTCTTGCCTATGCTTGTTTGAGGCCAGGCTCGCAGACTTTTATTGGCTCCGAAGCCTCTGGGTCTCTCTCTCCCATCTCCCAGTAGGTCCTCGTGTCTGCACAGCTAATGCTCACCCACTGGGAGAAGCCCACACACCCTTCTACCAGGTCCTGAAGTCCTGAACTTGAGGGGAGTCCTCTGTGACCTTTACAGACCCATGGAGAGATGGCTCACAGGTGGCAAGAAGTCAGTTCAGCCCAACACTGCTCAGTAGCTGGCATCAGCTACACTCTGAGAGCCTGACCCTAAATAGTTTTTTTTTAGTGTTTTTTGACAGGGATTTTTTCTGTAGCCCTGACTATCCTGGAACTTGCTCTGTAGACTTGGGTTGGCCTCGAACTAAGAGAAATCCACCTGCCTCTGTGCCCCAAGCGCTGGAATTAAAGGTAGTGCCACCACTGCTTGGTTTATTTTAGGCATATGTAAGCACAGAACAATTTGGTGAAAACTTTTCTGGTGATAACTAATTCAATTCCATGTGTATGACAAAGCATACATGAATCTCCCTGAGGAACAAAGTAGGCTAAATACAGCTCAGACATAGCTCCCGTGAGGGCTAAGATTATGTTTTAGGTTTAGATGATGGTGTTTAGGACACCTACAAAACAAAGATGCCTCTGAGCTGTAAGCCCCACTTGCCCAAGGATACATAACTTCCTGGAATGCTGGGGCTGTTCATGTAAGATAATAAACCATGTGTCATTTCTTTTTTTTTTTTTTTTTTTTGAGACAGGGTTTCTCTGTGGCTTTGGAGCCTGTCCTGGCACTAGCTCTGTAGACCAGGCTGGTCTCGAACTCACAGAGATCCGCCTGCCTCTGCCTCCCAAGTGCTGGGATTAAAGGCGTGCACCACCATTGCCCGGCATCCACGTGTCATTTTTATAAACAAGGTTGGTTGCCCCAACCACACAGGATGTGCTTGGTCACTTGTAGATGGGAGGTACATAGGCAGGAAGTACATCAAGATGAATACTTGCTCCTGATTGGACCAAGGCAGGAAGTATGTAGCTGTAGCCTTGTGGGGTTTTGCTTTTCTGGACACCTGACTAACCTAATTCATGGCCATTCTCTAGGAGGCCTGGGTATGGACCTGGCCAGTATTTAATAAAGCTAGCTCTAAATTTGGCTCAAAAGTTGTGGTAGCGTCTTAGTCTTGGCCAGTGGGGTTAGCACAACATCGAAACTCTTTGTAAACTGGACATGGTGGCGTACTTTTTAAATCCCAGGCAGAAGCAGGGAGATCTCTGTGAGTTCGAGGCCAACCTGGTCTACATAGTAAGCTAGAGCTATGTAGTGAGACCCTGTCTCAAAAAAGCAAGCAAGCAAGTAAACAAACGAAAACCTACTTCTTTGTAAAGCCCATAAAGATAGGTTCTACAGATTGACTCAGAAAAGCAAATTTATGCCAAGGGTCTGGGGGAGGATCCAGTGTGGGAAAAGTGTCTGAAAGGTAGAACAGAGGTCCTCAGAATAGAGAGCCCCTCCACGCCCAGCCTTCTGGGTGGATAATGGAGTCTGCATTCCTTCCCTGGAAGGAACCAATCTGGGAGTTTAACATTCCAGCTCCCCTACTGCTCCTCTGTGAACACAAAGACCTCCGAGCCTCCTGCAGGAACTCTTACCCTCTGTGAGTTGATTCGCGCTGGGATTTTTTTGATGGAGATGGAGCTTGGCTAACCCGTGAGGTGGTGAGAGCAGTTGCTGAAGCCTTGATCGAGGAATTCATTGCTTGCAACATGTTGACGCACCTCATACACCTGACAGACAGAATTCTTCCGAAAGGAGACAACTTTATTATTTGACTAGCCTCGAAGAGTTATTTCCCCGCCAGGGTACAAGCACGACAGATCAGGTCTGTTTTTGTAGTATCATTAGGAACTCATTACTTCATATGTTATCTGATATATTTGATCACGAGGCACAAAATGAGGCTCCCATCTTGGGCTCCTAAGGGGAAACACTCATTTCACAGTTGAGCACCTAAGGGCGGAGGTGAGAACTCCCCAACAAAGTAGGACCCATCCCTGCTTCAGACCCAGGTGTGACTAGCAGGGGTCACAAGGTCACAGAAACCCTGTGCTGCATGAACAATGAGAATTTTCAGCAAAGAAAATCAGCTTGGCTAAAGCTAAGTAGATACCCAGAAGACAAAAAGATTTGAACTGTTTCGGGAGGTTAACAACAGCTAAGAGAGTAGAGAGAGCTCGGACCCTGTGACATTTAGAGATACCTTGGGGCCTCATGGAGCAGAATCCTGAGGTCTGAGAAGCCGATGAACACGAAGGGGAACACGTGTGTTTGAGGTACTAGACTCCTGTCTCTGCATCTGAGGTGAGGCAGGGCCAAGTTTGCCCTGGAAGTTTGAGAAAACTGCAAACGGGGGGCCGAGAGACCATGGCCATCAGGGGTCCGAGGCCAGAGCCTCATGAGGGCGGTCAGAGCAAAGACTCTTCAGAAGTGGAAGTTCAGGATCCCGGTAAAACCCACTGAGGGTTCATTGGAATCCTGGCTTGAGGCCTTGCGAGGTACCAAGGTCAGGACAGCATCCTCAGCAAGGCTGAAGACTGACCTGAGCGTCCCTCTTGCCCCTACAGTGGGAGTCGGAGGAGATTTGAAGTACCCATAGCGATGCAGGGAGTAACTTCCTGGAAAACACTGGGTATTTCTGAGTTGATACTTCCTGGTCTGGAGGGCAAACCCTGGCTACATTTGTTCCCATAATGAGCAACCAGGCCTCCCATGGCTCCTACATCTTAAATAGGGTTGGCCAAGAGAGGGCTGTGAGCCACAGTGGTGAGAGGGGGGCTCCAGAGCTCGGTGTTCCTGGCTCATCTCTGTGAGTCTGGGGAGGGGCAGTAGGGGTCCCCTCTCCTTCCTGAAGAGTAAGTAAGACTTCCCTATGCTAACCTCACAGGTGGACTGACACAGGGCTCCTGTTGCCTCTGGCTCCTGGTGGCTGGTGAGTTCCTTGACCTTCACCAAACCACATCCCTGGGACTGCGGGACCAGAGCCTGAATGGGCAGGTCCTGGCAAGCAGTGAGGTTACAGTTTGATTGCCTCGAAACTCCCCTAGACTGAGCCAAGGACTCTGACCCCACTGAGCCGTGGACCAGAGAGGAGCCATGGAGTCCTGGGCAAGGTGCATTTTTCTTCTGCTGCTGCAGCTGCTGCCAGGTGAGGAGTGTTCTTCCTGCAGTCATCCTCAGCCCCTTCCTCCATGATGACCTCCGCCATCCTGCTTCCTCGGGATCCTCAGCTGCTCTCCCTAGACAACCAGGAGAGGGCTGAGAGAAGGAGGCCAAACCCCTTGTGCCCACTGACCCTCTGAGGGAGGCAGGAGGAAGAACCACAGAGGAAAGTGGGTGGCTGTTCCTGAGTGGGGTGATGTCCCAGAGCCATGTCTCATGGAGGTGATAACTTTGTGGATGGAATGCTGACCCTAGGCCCCTCCTCTTGTTTTCTCTTTTAAAAATTTGATGAGAATTTTATGTGCATACAATTTGTTTTGATCATATCTGTCTTCTGCTCACCTCGCTTGATTCCCCTAGGCCCCTCCCAGAAAGTAATTCTTCCAACTTCGTTCATCATCTCTTCCTTCCTCCCCTCTTCTGCTGCTGTAACTCACGGAGTTCAGATGCTGCTGTCTATGTGTCCACGGGCACGGGGCCATCCTCGTGTCCACGGGCAACCCACCAGTGGCCACAGCCCCCAAAGAAAAATTGCTCTCCCTCACCTATCAGCCAATAACTGCTCAGCTAGAGATGGGCCTTGGGAGCCACTCCCCACGCAACACTCCAAGTGTTGTCTGCCTGGACAGGTCTTCTGTGCGTTACCACAGCTGCTAGGGGTAGCAATATGAAGGCAACAGCCGTGCTATGTCCAGAGGACAGCTTTCCCCAGCCTCTTCCCCATCCTGCAGCTTGCATCCCTCCTGCCTTCTCTTCTGTCCCGTTCTGGAGCTTGGGAGGTGTTGATGTAGATATGGATGTACCACTGAGACCAAGTCGCTTATTCTCAGTGTTTTGGCCAATTATGAGTTCCTGCATGAACCAGTCCACTGAGAAACTTTCTCTTGTTTTCTAGGAGGCCGTGGGGATGTGTTGCCTTCAGGTAATGACCAGCCCTGAGCTTCCCAGGGAAGAGACCAGGGTGGAAGGAGATGTTGGAGATGGTGGGTCCTGGGTGGGACTGGCTTTCTGAGAAGGTCCTTCTGCAGTGTGTGGCCATTCCCTAGATGCTGGGAAAATCGTGGGTGGCCAAGATGCTCAGGAAGGACAGTGGCCGTGGCAGGTCAGCCTGTGGTTAGCTGGAGAGGGCCACGTATGTGGGGGCTCCCTCATCCACCCGGGATGGGTGCTCACGGCTGCCCACTGCTTCCACAGGTAAGCGAAGGGTGCAGAGTGGCTGCCATTCTTGTTCCCTTCTTCATCTCTGGCAGAGGCCTCAACAGACTGGGCCTGTCTCTTTCTAGGTTTAAGGACCCTAGCTTCTACCAGGTGAAGGTTGGTGGGCTGACACTCTCCCTTCTGGAGTCCCCCACAACCCTAGTGACTGTGAGGAGCATCTTTGTGCACCCCAGCTACCTCTGGGAAGACACGTCTAGTGGAGATATTGCCTTGGTGCAGCTGGGCACGCTTCTGAAACCCTCTCAGTTCGCTCCCGTCTGCCTCCCGGAAGCCCAAGCTCCTCTCACCCCTGGGACTGTCTGCTGGGTAACGGGTTGGGGCTCTACCCAAGAAAGAGGTGAGGGAATCCTTCCACACCCAGTCCCGACTGCTGTCCATGGGAAGGCTTGGCCGGGAGGGGATGCACTGCCAAGCTGTGCAGTTTGCCTTGACCATGGTGCCCACTCAGGGCATATTTGGGGAACCCCACCCAGTGTGCAGGGTTCTGCAGAAATGGGTAAGCTGAGGCCCAGCAGCCATGAGATTATGGAAGCCGGCACAGCTCACAGGGCGGACTGTCCTTGAACTCTGTTCTCTGACTCTATTTCCTGGTTTGGGGACTTGGAGGGGGACTAGAGAAGAAAGAAATGGTAGGAGGTTCGGGTTGTCTGCATGGTGGGAGGTTCCAGCAGGTCAGGGTGCACTCAGGCCGGGACTCTCTCTTGTCCAGACCTGGCGAGTGTCCTCCAGGAGTTAGCTGTGCCTCTCTTGGACTCGGAGGAGTGCGAGAAGATGTACCACACCCCGGAGAGCAGCCAGTCAGGGAAGCGATTCATCCAGTCAGACATGCTCTGTGCGGGCTACGCAGAGGGCCAGAAAGACTCCTGCCAGGTGCCAGCAGTCCCATCTTGTGGTCCATATCCCGTGCCCCACACCCTAGAGACGCTGAGGAGGACCAGGGCACTCACCCAGTCCCTGTGGCCTCGGCAGAGGGTGTTTGTAAAAAATTTTTTCTTGACTGGGCTCTCCTCCTTTTTTCTCAGGGTGACTCTGGGGGACCACTGGTCTGTGTCATCAACAGTTCCTGGATCCAGGTGGGAATCACCAGCTGGGGAGTTGGCTGTGCTAGGCCGCTCAGGCCTGGTGTCTACACACGGGTGCCATTTTATGTAGACTGGATTCAGAAAACCTTGGCAGAGAACCATTCTGAACATTATGAAGCCTGCGGGGGCCACTCCGGAGCCTCTGGGCCACATCCACTACTGATGCTAGTGTTGTTGGCCGTAGCCTTGCCAACGGCTCTGTGAACTATGAGCTCTAGAGTCCAGGATCCCCCTCCCCCGGTGGGATGGGAGACTTGGAAGCTTAGAGAAGACGCTCAGAAATGGTGGGTTCACAGGCGACAGCCTGGGAGGTGTTGGAGGCTGAAGGGACCTAAGTTTTAAGGACACAGTAATCTGGAACACAGGGACACATCCTCAAATACAGGCAGCCACTCACACGTCACCACAGCCTGGCCTTGATTCAGCTCTACAGGTGCTAACTCCTTCAGCGACACACAGTGCCACAGCGGGAGTAGGAAAGCCCAGAGAGGGCCGTGAACTTCCCAAGGTCACACAGTTAGCCAGCTGGATAGACTCCCCATTAAACAAGTGTGGATCGGAACCTGTGCACCTGCCCCAAAGGGACCCCATGCTGGTATGCACCATTGCACCTTGTTTGGTTCCCAACACCCACATCGTGGGGCTCACAACTGCAGAAGGTCCTGCTTCTGGCCTGAGGACATACACATGGGGGTACACAAACATATAAAATAAATCATTGCTGAAAAGGCATGCATTTATGTCACCAATGGGTGTTTTGTCTGTATGTGCAGTACACCTTCATATCTCTCTCTCTCTCTCTCTCTCTCTCTCTCTCTCTCTCTCTCTCTCTCTCTCTCACTTGTCTTTGGAGACAGGGTTTCTCTGTGTAGCCTTGGCTGTCCTGGAAATTGCTCTATAGACCAAACTGGGCTTGAACTCAGAGAACAACTCCTGAGTGCTGGCTTGCACCACTACCCCTGGCTCCATTCAGTCTCTTGAAACTAGAGTCACAGACAGTTGTGAGCTGTCATGTGGTTGCCGGGAACTGAACCTAGGTTCTTTGGAGGGACAGCCTGTGTTCTTAGCCATGGAGTCATCTCTCCAGCCCCCAAAATAAGGCAAATATTTTTAAGAAATCCTTTGACAGAGCAACTTTCCGTCTGCTGGGTCTGATCACAAGATGCAGGGGTGTGCGTCAGATGAGACTGCTTTTTCTCAGTTTCTCTAGCAATTCATTTGCATTGTGTTTTCCAAACACATCTGGCCATGGGCAATGTATTGGTAAGTTGTTATGTGCTGTTTGAGCTCACTGAGAAGCTGGGAATAGGGTCGCCCCAACCCCATTTCAGACTCAGACACATTTAAATGTCCTCCAAGACCCTTGTTTGGGACCGGACTGGCCTCTCTAACTCCGTGACAGGAAGGATAGCGTAGCCAATAGTGGAGTGGAAACTGTGCCCTTGAGGACAGCTAGACAGTGCAGCATTTCCAGGAGCGCTTTCTCTTGCTGATCCCGTGACAGAAAGGAGCCTGCCATGGGAAGTTCAGCCGTGGAGGAGAGCACACCTGGGAATCCAGGGGACGCCTGAACTTCCCAGTTCCCACTGGAGGCCATGAAGACCGACTTTATGACATCATCTCTATCGGTTGCTGTTTGTCCTCTTACTCGGAGGCCTCACCAGAGGGAATGCTCTGCTTGCCTAGACTCACTCTGCTGGGAACTCCAGCCCTCAACAGGGCTCCGCCAGTCTGCAGATGGGGTGCGCTGAACACCCGATTCCATGATGTTTTGCTTTCTATTGCTTGCTATTTATTCGTTTACTTTGGCTTGTTATCCCCTAATAATCTAACTTAATTAAAGCTAAAAGCGTGGCTGTCATAGATCATTCTCCAAAGCAGAAAGACTGTAGTGGGTTTAAAAATAGTCCTTCCTAAACTGGAGAGATGGCTCAGGGGCTCAGAGCACTGACTGCTCTTCCAGAGGACCAGAGTTCAATTCCCAGAAACCATGCTGTAGCTCACAATAGTCTGTAATTACGGCTTCAGAGGATCTGAATCCTCTTCAGACCTCCATTGTCATTGCAGGTATGCAGTGCATTTACATACATGCAGGCAAAGCACCAATATTTACAAAATAAAAATAAAGTCTCTAAAAATTAAAAAAAAAAAGTCCATTGCCCGAGAAGGCTTTTGAAGTTCAGGCCTAGGCAATTTGCCTGCATCTCCCCTGTGTCTTCACGGTTAGAGTCACTGTTGTCTGTCAGCTCTCCTGTGTGGTTACTAGCAAAACTCCCATTCTTTCTTGAAAGTGTCTCAAAAGTATACACACACACACACATATATACATACATACACACACATGCAGGTGCGCGCACACACACATTACACACACATATATGTTTTCTTTGCAAGTCAGTCAAGCTAAGAGCCAGGAACCCTTTAATGCTTTTGGTGTCAGCCTCAGCATGTAGTTGCCATGGTCACTAACTGGCCAATAAGAGTCTTTATTTTGCAGTCCTGACCATCTCTCCAGTCTAGGAAGGACTATTTTTAAATCCACTACAGTCTTTCTGCTTTGGAGAATGATCTATGACAGCCACGCTTTTAGCTTTAATTAAGTTAGATTATTAGGGGATAACAAGCCAAAGTAAACAAATAAATAGCAAGCAATAGAAAGCAAAACATCATGGAATCGGGTGTTCAGCGCACCCCATCTGCAGACTGGCGGAGCCCTGTTGAGGGCTGGAGTTCCCAGCAGAGTGAGTCTAGGCAAGCAGAGCATTCCCTCTGGTGAGGCCTCCAAGTAAGAGGACAAACAGCAACCGATAGAGATGATGTCATAAAGTCGGTCTTCATGGCCTCCAGTGGGAACTGGGAAGTTCAGGCGTCCCCTGGATTCCCAGGTGTGCTCTCCTCCACTGCTGAACTTCCCGCTGAGCATCTACCACATGCCCCCAATCTACTGGAGACTGCAGGTGCTGTCCATAGCAGCTGTGGGTGCCGTCACCTGCTGGGTGGTGAGTGCCCTTAGCTGGGTTTTAGCAGATGAACCAAAGGGCGCCTGACAGAACAGCTGATCAATTTCAGGGAGAGACAGGTGAAAAGCCACTCTTTCCTTGGAGGTTTGAGAAACTTCCAGTCTGTGAAGGATGAGGTTGTTGGGCTGTCAGGGCCTTGGAGGGGATGGCCCCAGGGCCAATCCTCTGTTTCCTGAAACACTGCCCACCCCAGGTGGCGGCTGGGAATGCTCCACAGAAAGGACAGTAAAGCCAGCCTGGGGCGAAAGCCAGCGAAAGCCAAGGGCGGGAGGCAGAGGAGTGGCTTAGTTGATAAAGTGTTCACTGTACACGCAGGAGGACCCGAGCTTGAACCCCAGCACCCACGTGAAGATGCCGCATGTAGCAGTGAGAGCGGTAATCTGAGTGCTGGGGAGGAGATGAGGCCCTCTGCAGCTCCCTGGCCAGTCAGACTGGCCTGAGAGGTAAGCTCCAGGCCCGTGAGAGACCCTGTCTCAAAAAAACAGGGTTGCTAGCCCTGGAGTAAAATACTTAAGGTTGGCTTCCATCCTCCACACATGCACATGTGCATATATACATTGAACTCACACAGACACACACAGAGACACACACACAGACATACACAGACACATACACACAGACACACACACACTGACAGAAACACAGACACACACACACAGAACACACAGACACACACAGACATACACAGACACACATAGACACACACACACAGACACACGCACATACAGAGGCACACACAGAGCTGACTGCCCGGGGCAGGGGGAGAGATCAGGTGAGTAAGACACCTTCCAGCCCTGGACCCTCTGCCCTTTCAGAGAACAGGCACCGTTGACAGCCTCGGTTACACCTGGGCAGAGGTGTCTATCGTTCTGATGCCTCTGAGTCTGGGTGCCACGGAGTCCCTTGCTCTGTCCCCACGGAGCCCCTCACAGACCTTCCTGGGTACCCCTTTCTGCCCTCTGCCCTATCCCTTTTGTCCTTCCAGAAGGCAGAACTCAAGTCTGGTGAGGGACTTGGTCTTTCGGAGCCGACTCTGCCCTCTCCTTTCAAGTGCCGAGCTGATAAATTCTGTTGCCTTGTGCCTCCCGATAACTACCATCCAGAAGTCAGCAAGACGATGTGGGGTAGAACAGAAGAAAAGGCCTCAATTTTGCCTTCCAGATTTTTTTTTTTGGAGGGGGTTTATTGTCTGAGCAGACTTTCATATAACTCATACTGGACCTGGCTCACTGTGTAGCTGAAGATGACTTTGAACTCTGGATCACCCCACTTTCACCTCTGGGATTTCAGGGGTGTGCCACTAAGCCCTGTTTTCAATTCTGCATTCCATGTACCAGATACGGGTAAACCTACCCCTGTATCTATCAACCCTCAGGAAGTCTCCAAACAAGAGCCTTCTTAAATAGCAGCCTTAATCTTTTTTAAAATTTTTTTATAATTTGTTTATCTTTATTTTATGTGCATTAGTGTGAAGGTGTCAGATTCCCCTGGAACTGGATTTTCAGATAGTTGTGAGCTGCCATGGGGGTGCTGGGAGTTGAACCCCAGGTCCTCTGGAAGAGCAGTCAGTGCTCTTAACCGCTGAGCCGTTCCTCTAGCCCCCGCCTTATCTCTTCAGACTGCACAGCCTGTTTCTAAGATCCCCTCCGACCCAGGCTAAGAGTGTCTCTGAACATCTATGCATGCCTATGTGTGTCTCCATGTGCATGAGTTCTGTAAACCAACCTTCATTCCCACCCCACCCTCCAGGGCTGCTTGACATCCTCATCCACCTGCCCCCAACAACGGGTTACAGGAAAGAGCCAGAAACAGCACAGGAAAACCCAGTTCTGCAGACTGGTATAGACTGCATGCAAACATGGTCCCCTTTGTCTTCTGTTAGTCTGGTTACCCTCCCACGATGATACTGCCGATGGGTTTTGAAAATGGGCCTTTCTGCTTATGGTAGCAGGCAAGGAGGTACAGGGCAAGGATGAAATAGCTGGGGATCGGTGGGTGCCCTGGAGGAGTTGGGCTGTGTGTGGCACCCAGGTGACTGTACCCATTGTCGTCTACACAGGGACTCCTCTCAGTCATCCCTGCTAGCTGCACTGTCCGTATAATCTAGGTGCAGATCTAGCGACAGGCTCCTTCTTGGACAGGTTGAAACAGAACTGCCCAGTTCCGTGTTGTGCAAGAGGAGGCCGTTCAGGGCCACAGAGACAACAGATAGGCGCACCCTCCAAGATCAGGTCAGGAATAAGGAAATGGTTACAATTTATTCAAATGTTCTGGAAAATCCACAGTTGATTTCTGTTCAAAGGTCAAGTCGGGGAATGATTGGCTGAGATGAGGGACTGAACCAGGAACCAAGTGAGGAACAATGGGGTTTCCCCAGCAGCAGCCCAGGGCTGAGGCTATCATGGCCTCCTCTCTGGACTGGGAGTGTGTTGGAGAGAGGTGATTCTCAAGGACACTGCTGGGGAGCCGGTGCCAGTGGTACCATGTGTGGCTGCAGGGTCTGGGAATCCGTGCAAGGCTGCTGGGGAGCCCGTGCCAGTGGCTGGCTCCAGGTTTCCAGGATGGAGGTGCTGAGGCCACTGGCACAGGGGGTATGGGAGGTCCATTCCCTTCATGGTTTGGGGCTAGGCTGGTACCCACACAGGAGGCGATAGAAGGGAAGGATTTGGATT